GCACCCCTCACCCTCTGAGCCTGCCTCTTCCATGCACCCCCTCACCCCATCACCCTCTCACCCTCACTCCCTCACCGTGTGAGCCTGCCTCCTCCATGCACCCCCTCACCCTCACCCCCTCACCCTCTGAGCCTGCCTCCTCCATGCACCCCCTCACCCCATCACCCTCTCACCCTCACTGTGTGAGCCTGCCTCCTCCATGCGGGCGCGTATGCAGTCGCCCAGCTTGTGCATCAGCTGCTGGCAGCGCTCGCACATCTGCACCGGGTTTCGGATAAATCGCAGCGAGTTGACGAGGCTGCGGGCCTTCGTCGGAGCGATGAGCTCCGTCGTCGCCACAAGGTCGTCGTCGAGCGAGACAAGGTCGCGATCCTGCTGCATGACGCGCGCCAGGTGGTTCTTAACCCTGCAACAAGGGGGCGACACCGGTCATGCGCCTACGAAGGCTGCAGCATGACGTGTGCAAGGTGGTTCTTAACCCTGCAACAAGGGGGCGACACCGGTCACACGCCTACGCGCGATGACACGGTGGCACTGTCAACTACACGCAACGTGCACAGTTGTTTACATGTGGCAAGTGGTTCTTCACCCTGCAACCAGGGGGCGACACCAGTCACAAGCCTACGAAGTTTGCTGCATGACGCGCGTAAGGTGGTTCTTCACCATTCAACAAGGGAGCGACACCGGTAACGCGCCTACGCGCGGTGACACGGCGGCACTGCCAACTACGCGCAAAGTGCAGTTGTTCACACGTGGCAAGTGGTTCTTTGCCCTGCAACAAGGGGGCGACACTATCAGCCATGCCCCAGGTTTTGGCACAGCACTGCCACGTTTTCCATTTTGAATGCAATTTGTAAAGCTAGCAATTGTTTTGCAGATCTCACCAACACCTACATTCACCCCACATATGACATTCAACTCAAAATAAGCCTCTTCGACCCCTTTATTTACACCATGTAACCCCCCACCAAAAAATAAACCTCATTCATCTCTTCTTCCACCCTATGCGAGCCATCCATCCCAAAATACATCTCACCACCTCTTCATCCACTCCAGGTAAGCTAACCACCCCAAAACAAATCTCATCACCTCTTCATCCCCTCCACATAAGCCATCCACCCCAAAATACATCTCACCACCTCTTCATCCACTCCACGTAAGCCATCCACCCCAAAATACATCTCACCACCTCTTCATCCACTCCACGTAAACTATCCACCCCAAAATAAATCCTCATCTTCCTCTTCATCAACCCATGAGTGGACCATCTGCACAAGATGAATAACTCGACCTATGCAGCGCACATCACACGAGAAAAATAACATGCAGAGCCACTGTCCTGGCAGTCCGCCTGGACCACATACCATCATCGTTACTCATTACTCGTTACCACATACCATCATCGTTACTCATTACTCGTTACCACATACATCAATACTCGTTACTCGTTACCACATACCTCATTACTCGTTACTCGTTACCACATACTTCATTACTCGTTACTCGTTACTCGTTACCACATACCTCATTTATATATATAACAATGGCAAGTGCACTAAAACTGACACAAAAACTGTGAGGTAGCAATTTCATCATGACGTATGTATGTACATACACGCAATCAAACCTGTATATTAGGGTCACTTAATGGAAACGCTACAAACGTCCTTCGGCGAAGTGTCCGTTCTCTACAAGTGACCACTTCATACAGGTTTGAGTGTGCGCCACCGGGACTGTTACGGCGATTGTGCGGCGACTTCCACGACGGTAATATAAAAGATTCAGTCGGTGATATGACACAAAAATTGTACATTTGCCAAACACGATAAAATGCGACTAAAATGCGACCTACGTGTAATATAGTATATATAATAGCGACTCAAATGAAAAAATAAACAAAATGAAAAAGCTGTCAGCACCACAGCCGTTAGATATGTAAATGCTAGTAATAGAATATAATACGCATCATTTGAATAGCTGCCATCCTAATTATTCCCAGAAATCCTCGGATGTGCGTAACCGATGCCAGCCAACGACGATTAGCATCTAGGCAAAAACCCACGAATGTCTCGAAAGTGCGACGTGTTCCAATTCCTGTTCCAATTCCGCCGCCGTCTCTTCTCGGACATCTCTCGACGCGTCGCGATGACCTAGCAAGATGCAGAGCAAGCTCCGCGCCGTGCGCTCGCCCTCTCACGGCGCGCTCGACTCCGCCTGACACGCACGTGCGACAAAGCCAACCTACCTCTGCTCGTGTCCTTGACATCGGTCATCGTCGGCACCGTGTGAACAGAGTGTCGCGTCGGTCTGCCGATACCTGGCGAGGTAAGGCAAGGTGAACGCGACATCATGCATTGTCCCAGCAGACTACACACACATTAAGAAGACTACTAACAGCCATTCGGTAACACCAAACAATTAAAAAAAAATACATCGAAAAAATGCCAACGCCGCCGATTACGAGTTAGATCGATTGGGGTGTATGCTCCCCCTCCTTCTCTGGATGCAGATGCAGAATCGGTCTTGTTAGTGTTATATGAATCTCGGCTGTGGCACCTAACATTAGCAACACTACACACGTCACTCGCCATCAAGCAGCCTCTATGTTCACACTTGGAGTAATTATTCTGATTACTGATCATTGATATTGATTGGATTAATCATTGATTGGAGTAATCAGTCAGAATGATTACTCCAAGGTTAACATCACCTACACGGGTGCATGCTCTCTCACCTTTCTTTTCGTCGAGCGAGTGTGGTCGTGACAGCTTCTTCAGCACCGTGATGATGGGTGAGACCGCGTTGTCCGCTTCCGCATCGTAGCCTCCATCGACACCCAAGCCCTCGTCTGCAGAGAGACAGATAGAGCTCATCACGGTAACAACAACAACAACAACAACAACAACAACAACAACAACAACAACAACAGTATCAGCAGCGAGAGTGATCGCCATGGAACCGCCGTAAATTTAACAATATTATGAATGTATAACCCCAGGTACCCTAGCTACGGCAGGTCTATGCAAATGCTGCATATACTGTTGTCACATACAATGGCATGAAGCGTGCACACTGGCAGATAGATTAGGTGAGCATGAGGAGTGAGGTCGTTAGCTATTGAGACGACTTATGAAAAGCAAGGAATTACTAACTAAGAACGAAACAGTGTAGCTCTCATTCCCTATTATCTACTTCTGGTAGAATGGTACACGCGTGAAGAATTGAAACCTGGTCGGTTGCTATGGCAACAATGGAAGCTTTGCCTCGGGTTACCATAAACCCAATCGTTATGTCATAGCTAATATGCATGCATTACAGTAACAAGTCGGATAATTTGATGACAGCACAGGATGGTTGTTCTCACACGTCACACTACATGAAACCTGTTCCACTGCGAGATATGATAAACTATACAACAAACGCTATTCAAATCTTGGCAATAGCCTAAAGCTGTAATTTCGACTGAAGGCAAGGTATTTACAGAACAAACATGGCCCTTTGAAGCCACAATGCAAGCACGAAGGCTATAGCCACTAGAGCTAGCCAGGCATGTACTACAATCGTGCACAAACGTGAACACAAAACAGAAGAAGGGCGGAAAATATGCAAAACGTTTCGCCCACAATAATTTTAAATGTCCCGTGTGAGACCCATCCTTATAAACTCTTTCATTTGACTGTAAATACTATTTTTCCTTGATTATTAGGTTATCATTATGTTATAATAATTGTGATTGTGATATTTCATTGCAGAGTTGCAAAAGTCAAACCGAACTGTTACATATTAGAGTAAGTGGTGAAATAGGAGAGGTGAGAAGAGAAAGACAGAGGAGAGATAAGTTGGAAAAGTACTAATGCATGATAAAAATGTAATATATTATTCCAGTTGTTAGATGACTGGTACAGTTGTAGGTAAAAGATGGGAGTGAATGTTGAGGGGGAGTGGGGAGAAGGTGGAGGCAGGAAAAGGAGGGGGAGGAAAGCACTACTGTACTTCTGTCTAAAAATGAAGTTTTTTAATCTGATGCATCACACGAATTTTTCTAATGATAACCAACATCATTAGGTTATCTATTTGACGTCCTGATTGAAGGGGGTTATGAGAGTTAGAAACATCTATAAACCCTTCACATAATAGTAAGTTAATTAATTTTTGATGGGAAACAGGAAATTGGAAAAGAAGAATACAGACATATAAACACACGCACTAGATATATATACACATAAAGACTGTCTACTTGTATTGCTCAACATCAATACACGTAGACACCTGTATTCCGCTAGCAAATAAATATTTAACAAACGTCCTCGAAAGGAATAGTGAAGTAAACACTGACGCAATAATGCCCACAATCAATAGGCATACAGTATCTACGTGTGTCGTACATATACAAATCTACAACAATCCAACTAACATGAGAGAAAACATGCCAAAGAACTAAACACTACTACCTGTGTTGAAAAGTGGGTCAGAACGACTTGCAGCTGTCATCAATCACCATGACAACCAAAGCAGAATCAGTCACCATGGGGACAGGAGAGCAGAAGAGTCATGCAAGAAAATTAAAAACGAAAGATGCCACGATATATCGAGTAACTATGAAGCTCCACAACAAAAATTCTAATACTCTGTCAAATGAATTGGGTTAGAACTATTAATAAAATAATGTTTTGTTAAAATTATCTGAGCTCGATGTACTAGATATGACCAGTTTAATCAGAATACCATTACAAGCCTACAAAAATAATATTATTACCATACTTAGTAGAGACTGTCTGATTACTGCTATGCTACATACGGCTACTAGCATTTATATATAGTCCTCTCATTAATTTAATTAATTAAAGTCAGAAGTTTATCTGGGGAACGAAAAATAATTAAAAAATACATCTAAAGTAAAACCAAGTAAATGAGGCTATATTATTTCCATATCGTTTCCAAAACTGTCAACTGTTATTTATATGACAATATGTTACTTATGTGACGTGACTTCTGCCGTTTGTATACCTCATGCACCTAAACATTGTTTGACTTGCAGTCCTGTTTTACATGCACACAGGTAGCTTATACCTACGCAATACTAACAATGATCTAATCATTATCATCATCATCATCATCATCATCATCATCACCAACAACATCAGCAACAACAACAACAACAACAACAACAACAACAACAACGACGACGACGACAACGATAACGACAACAGCAACGCTCCAATGTAGCATTGCCAATATCCCACCTGCGTTTCAATGTCCCACCAGTGCTACTGCGCCACTGATGCTGAAGCAATGCTCCAGGCATCAAACTAACATTACTCCAGCACACATAGCCACTCAAACGAATCTGCAGCATCGCATTGCCTGCTCTGCCCACCCAGTAGGTGAATAATAACGCAAACAGTAACAATGCCCCAACACTAGCTAGAGCGAAACTCGATCTCCTCTGACACCACATAGTTAGCAACAGCGCACCAACACCAGCTTAACAAGCAACCCACCACCAGCTTAAAAAGCAACCCACCACCAACTCCACATAAAAAGCAACGACACACCGACACCGCATCAAAGCAAAAATCACTCGAATCTCACGTGAGCTCTACTTATACCCTAACCCACCCCTCCGACCCAGGGCTCGAATTCCACCGCAGTTCCAATAGCAAGTGTCATGGCTGCCCACCTCGATGCCCCCTTTTTTAACAATATGCTTTGTGGCCCTTTAACCTTCCGTGGAGCCCTAAATTTTCTGTTTTACGCTAGGGCATCACGTGCCTTGTCCGAACAAAATTTCGATCCCTTTCCAACCTAAACACCAAACTAGTGCTGCAGAGCAACAGTGCTCATTACATCCATCACACCCTAACAATAACATAGCTTCTGGCAGCATAACACACAACCTCAGATTCACTTAGATACAATAAAGCAACAAGAAGTGTCTCTCTTTTCCCCGTATCCCCCCTCTCCCCCTCGCTCTGCCACTGTCTCTCTCTTTCTGTCTCCTGGTGTCTCCTGCTATCTCTCTCTCCCTCTCTCTCTCTCTCTCTCTCTCTCTGTCTCTCGTTCTCTCCATCTCTCTCTTTTCTCCCCTCTCTCCCTCAATCTCCCTCCTACTCTCATCCCCTCTTCCTACTCGACCACCGTCAAACACCGACAGAAACTTACCCATTGAGTTACTGGCCTGCATCACCGCTGCCTTCCTTCTCTGGATGGTGATCGGGGAAGACTTCCCGTCTTCTTTCACCGAGGTCGCTGGGCTGACCACCTCCTTTGTGTCCTAAAGCAGCCACGTGCAAAGAGAACAGTGACAAGCAACATGTAACGATTACGCAGCGCTCGATCAGCTTGTGGATCAGCTCCACACTGTATCTGCCACAGGCTGGTCACTACTTACAGAGCAATGAGTAAGTTACCTTACTGACGCTGATAGGGTCTATGTCCCCCAGGGTACTGCCGGAACGTACCCTGGGTACGGTCCGGTATACCGGAACGTACCCTGGTACTAAATACTACTATCTAATATGCCGGACCGTACCTCGCCTACTCCACTAACGAGTCTAGGGAGTCGCCTACGTCTACTCCCTAACTCTAACCCTAACCCTAATTCTAACCCTAACCCTAACCATAACAGCTAGATAGTTACCAGGGTACGTTCTGGTATACCGGACCGTACCCAGGGTACGTTCCGGCAGTACCCTGGGGGACATAGACCCTATGAGCCTTACTGACGGGCACTTCAGTGAGCTGTGAGAAATAATGGTGACGTCACAACGATAACACAGCCATGATATAAACCATGTCCATGTTAATGCATAAATAATGATAAATCCACTTACAAAAACCCGTTCACGATAATGCCTTAACTAATGTTCAATGAAACCAAGTTTAGAATTAGTAATTAACATAGGTGTCTGATAATAAAATACATAGTTTTAAGAATAGTAATAAGTTAAGTTAGTAATAAAATTGTGTCATTTCAATAAATTATTCAACCCTTCTCATAAATTATTAAAACTCACCAGAGTCTCGTCCTCAGACACAGGCTGAAAGAATCGCTCCTCCTCTGCGAGGGGTGAGAAATTAACCTTGTCAACTGGGGGGCTGACTCCCTCCTCTTGCTGCAACAAGACACAGCCACCGGTGAAGACTAGCAACTAATCAACTACTTCTTCTTCATCTTCTCAGGTCACTACACTACACCTGACCTAGCCACTGCAGCACGATCTTCTTCTGCTCATGTCACTACACTACACTGGACCTAGCCACTGCAGCACACAGGACCTGGCACAGTGATTGAAAGCCTCAAAGTCCCCAGGGCTACAGAGCTCTGGACTCAACTACTAAAGGTGAAAGGGTGCAGATGTTACTGCGTCTCAGAGAGGGTGGGGACAGATCATCATCCTAGCAGGATTCATTCTCCTGCCATCAAGGCTGCAGCGGAGGTTGGCTATCCATCTTTCTGTAAGGGAGGTACGACGGCTCATTTCGGCATAGATGCAGATCGATTAGGTTCCTTTCTTAGTATTTGAATGACAACAAGTCCCCTTTCCACGGAACGTCTACAAAACTGCTGAACAAGCTAGTCCACGTAAATAGCCATACAAATGTGCCAGTTGCTTAGCCAGGGCTACCGCTGGCATTCACCACCTTTGCAAACTGCGATAAATAAATAACAGAGCCGATTTTACTACACTAAGTGGCGAATACAAATGGCGAATGATTGAACTGCTCATAAAACTAAGTTTGAATAATGAAATCGTCAAATTGGTAGTGTCAGTAAATGTTTTCGAACACCTTTTTTCCCATACTCATCACTTGTTTATGCCTTGCTTATATTAGCACATACGATAAAGTGAACAGTGGCTATAGTTTTAATTTTAATTTTTTTAATAACTTTGGTGGCTAGAGTCTTGGCTCAAACTTTAAAACATCAAGAGGGAGCCCTGCTTAGCTACTACACCTCTCACACTGCAAAGATTACTATTAAGCAAATTTAGCACTATGAAGTGCCAACTTCACGGTCCGGCTTGCTAGTGATCTAGGGCAACATCAAGCGTTCACATGCGCAGCACAAAAGCCTCTAGGTCGATATTAGAGGGTTCCGCGAATTTTCAAATTATCCACAATGCAACGCCGCCGGCCATGACGGTTCCAGAAACCAGTTCAGGCATGCATGGTACAAGTACATTGAGCACCGACTCACTGGTCTCTGCTCATTTTATTCGCCTATTAAACAAATCCATCACAACGCCGCTCTCCTGCGGTGTTGTCAACTGCAGCAATCGGTATCAGAGAGAGCCACACAGCTTTTTTAGGCTGCCTAGCGTGATCACAACACAAGGTAAAGTGACGAGAGACCAGGCGGACCACAGACGCTTGGAGCATTTTCAATAAACAAGTGCCGCAGTGTGACAGAGCTCATCTGGTGTCTGGTGTTCTGCTGATAAATTCATTTGTCCTATACATACGTTCATTTCTAACCCAAAAAAACAACACTTCAAACTAGTGTAATAAAATTCCGATAGATGGCGGGCCGCTATCAAAGGCATCATTGTATCGGTCAGCCAAAGCATTGCAGCAATGGCAGCTGTCAGTGTGACGACGGATTGCAAAAAGCAGGAGCGAATAATTACCATATTATTACTATACATAACGTGCGTTCTATGGTGTCAGGTAATAAGGTACATTAAACCCCTTGCGAGGCACATCTGGCTCGTT